CCCCCTCGCAGGGAGCATCCAACCCCCCCAGAAACCTGCATCCCACCAGGTCCGGGTGCTGCAGGGTCCTCTCCCCGCCCCGGGTGCAGGTGGAGGCGCCGGGGCCTCTCCCTCCCCATCAATCACGGCTGCAGACACAGATTAGATCAGGTCCAGCCTGGTTCTGCCCTGCCTGGGGGTGAAGGGAGATGGTCCAGGCCTGTTTGTCTGGCTAATTAGCAGAAAGCAAAGCCTCCCCCCATTCCAGGCATCCTTGTCTTTGAGCCAGTAGCCTCCAGCCAGGCTTCAGCAGAGCCACTAAAGCTGCTCTGTGCTTTTGGGCTGGAGACAGGGAGGGAAAGGAGAGGGAAAGGGCAGTGCCACCCAAAGCACCCATGGGACACGCCCCAGGCATCCCCCCAGGGACCTGTCCCCCAGCACAAAGAGGATCTGGACCAATTACTTTTTTTATATCAGTCATTAACAGAGGTGACAAGAGAGAACAGCAGAAGGGCTGCAAGCAGGGGCTCTCCTGTGGCACCCACTTGGGACCTGAAAATGGGTGACAGGCCCCATCTCTCCCTCAGCAGGAGAGGAGAGCTCAGGACGAGTGAGCTGTGTGGGAGCAAACCCTTCCCCTCCTGACTGCTGGGGAATGGCAGCTGCCTCCCAGTGCCCCCAGTTCCCCTCTGCCATCAGAGAGCCCCACCAGTCCAGCACAGCCTCCTCCAGTCCTGCCAAATGCCAGAGATCTCCCCGTATCGGGGAGAAAGGGCGGCTCACCCTGCCCCTCTGTTGGCAGCCAAAGCCCCAGCTCCTTACAACACTCCTTTCCAGGACAGGGGTCGAAAGTGCTTGTTTTCCACGGGGAGTCTTGCAGAACAGCTGGGAGTGGATGGCAGGAAAGTTGGAAGGAGTTTAAAAACTGCTTTGTGGTCACGTAATCCCCGTGCCCCTCTCCCATGGGTGGAATCGGCCGCTGGGGCCGTGTGGGAAGAGGCTGTGAGTTTATCCTCTGTCCAGCCCTGCCAGTAAATTGCTTCCCAGCAGAGTGGAGGCTTCCCAGGCTAAAGGACAAAGAGGAGTTTATCTGCCAGCACCAAACCAGCTGCTGGGGTAAGATAATGTCTGTCCAAACCAGGGACCACCCGGAGGCACAGGGCAGACCCTACACTATAACACAACCCTCAGTCTTAGCAGGATGAAAATACCTTCCAAAAGCTCCAGCACAGCTTCCCAGTGCAGCTCTCTGCTGCTGATCACTGCTCACGGAGTGGACACCAGCTCAGATCAGCCCTTTGAATCTCCCAAGCCCATCGTTTCGGTAGCTTTTGGGTTTTTTAATGAAGACCAGACCTGCTTTTAGCCAAACAAACTGACTTGCCACGAGCAAGACTTGCTGCACGCCGGGGGACTCGAGGGATGTGGCAGTGCCACCTCTCCAGGGGTGAAATGGCAGGAGGCAGTGCTGGCAACGTGCAGAGAGAGCCAGGCTCGACATTGGCCCCTCCTGCTGCTGGTGCGGGTTTGAGGGAAGGGGACGCTCAGGACATCCCTTCTGGGCACAGGAACCAGCTGAGAGAAGATAAAACCGCAGTGAAAAGGTCACAAGGCATGAGAAGCCTCTCGAGGGGCACCCTGGCTCCCACACCCCCCCCGTCCCTGCCGTCGGGGAACATCCCTGCTCTGCCTGCTGTTCCGGCGCTGCTCCCCGGGTCCACGGGCAGCCATCCCGCCTGGAGCATCCCAGGGAGCTGCCCCGGGGGGGCTTGCCCGGGTGACACAGAGAGCCAGTCTCAATCTGTATCAGCCAAACCACCTTCTCCCCTGTCACCCTCCTCACACGTTTTTACAGGGATATTAATTTCCACACCATTTGTTCCAGGAGAGCTTTTTCCAGCTCCTAAAGATTGATGAGGCAGTTGATGATTCTCACTCATGCTCCAGGACCTGGTGTCTCCAGATCCACCTTGGGAAGTGGATGAACAAGTGCAAACGAGAACCTCCCAGCCCCTCTTGCCACCATCAGCCACCTCACTCTGGGCTCTTTGTTCCAAGTCACTCTTAATTTCCTGCTTTCCATTGTCTCTCTGATAAGTGATGGAAAAGGGGGGGGGAAGGAGTAGCGATTATTTAATTGTTTTCAGGATTTCAAAGAAACCAGAGCAGGGGTTCTCTCCCCCAGACCTCTCCTTTTGAGTCTTCCTCCTGTCACCATTACTGGGTAACTGCAGAGGCAGAAGCCGCCCCTATTGCACAAGAGAGACCCAGAGACCCCAGAGACCCCAGGCCCCTGGGCAGTCCCCACACCAGCTCCCTGGGCTGTTCCCACCCCCAGGAGCCCTCCTTGCCTTGCCCTCGGTGGAAAGTGCAAACCCCTTGGGCCGAGGTCCCCCCAAGCTTCCCGAGAGACTCTGTGATTCTCAGAAACCTCTTGGGGGTCTCCAGCTGGGGTGACAGCGTGGCCGTTGCCCTGCCCTTCCCCTCCTGGGGACACCAGGAGCAGCTGAGCCTTTTGCAGCATCACTGGAACCGAGATGTTTCTGGAGCAGGTGCCGGGGAGAGCAAGGTGGGCAGGGCGGGCAGAGCAGGGTGGGCAGAGCAGGGTGGGCAGAGCAGGGTG